ACTCAAAGAGGAACTGTTTCTAATGGAGTGTTTAATTTTGAGAATGTTAACTTTGCTTCAGAATTGAAGCAAGGCTTGCTGAGTGAATCCCAGATATGCGACAAGGGCTACTCTACTCATTTCATAGATAAGGAATGTTTAATCTTAAAGCCTGGCATTGTTATCCATGAAGATTGGATTCTTGTAAGATCTAAGCGGGACGGAAATGCCTACATTATAGACATGAATAGCAATTTCCCTGACGATGTCACTTGTCTCTTCTCCAAAGCTTTTGAACAAAATGTGATGTTGTGGGATCGTCGTCTCGGTCATGCGAATGCAAAGAACTTGAATCGTCTTGCCAAGAACGAATTGTTCTGCGGGCTACCCATCAAAGATTTCATTACTTTTGAAAAACGTGTTTCATGCACTCAGGGAAAACATCATCAAAAACCACACTTTCCAAATCAGATAAACTCCATAAGTCAAGTGCTTGAGTTATTTCATATGGATTTATTTGGTCTGGTTAATGTTCTAAGCATCATTCACAACTCTTTCTGCCTTGTTGTGATAGATGATTACTCTCATTTCACTTGGGTTTTCTTTATGTCTAACAAAGCTGAAATTGTTGACCTTATCAAAAGATTCATTGTGATGATCGAAAATCAGACTAAAAATCGAGTGAAAGCGCTGCGTACCGATAATGGAACAGAATTCAAGAACGCTGTTCTTGCTCATTTTTTACCTGAGAAAGGGATTGTGCGTCAATTCAGTCCTGTTCGAACACCTCAACAATACGGGGTTGCCGAACGTTGGAATCAAACTCTAAAAGATGTCGCAAGGACGATGCTCTGTGATTTCAAGCTTCCTGTATTCTTCTGGGCAGAGGCGATTAACACAGCGTGTTATGTTTTGTATGAGATTTTATTTGGACACAAGCCATCCGTCAGTCATTTCCGAGTATTTGGCTGCCCTTGCACCCTTCTCCACTTGGAATCCAATCCCAAATTCAATGCCAAAGCCGACGATTGTTACTTTGTTGGATATGTTGCTCGAACTGCGTACAGGGTTTACAATAAGAAGACTAAAGAGATTGTAGAATCCTTTGATGTTCATTGGCTTGAAGAAAATGAGACAGATGCAAGAGTGGGTCCTGATTGGTTATTTGACTACACATCTCTTTTCAAATCATTCAATGTGTCTTCAGATAATGAAGAAGGATCTACTTCCAATTCGAAGATTCCTAGTGAAGACGAATAAGATGAAGTTGTCTATCGACCACCATTGATTTCCTCTGATCCTCCATTGGTACCCTCTGCTCATTTTGAATCTTCGGAGTCTCCTCAACAACCTTCTCCTGATGCTACTGTTACTCCTTTAGCTCCGATGGAAAGAGAGTTCATGAACCACGAGACTTCCGCTGTAACTTCAAATCTGATGGAACTTCTCTTTCCATAAAGTATTGCAGAAGAGTTTGTAGCAGATTCTTCATACGAACCTTGTTCATGATGAATTAACCTGAGTATGTAGCTTCATCTCTCAAATAGAACCTAAATCTATCGAAATGGCTCTGAATGAGCCCAGCTGGGTTGAAGCCACGCATGATGAATTAAATCAATTTGATAAACTTGGAGTCTGGAAATTGGTGGAGCTACCAAAAGGAAAGAAATCTCTTGATACTCGTTGGGTATTTCTAAATAAACAAGACGATTCAGGTGTCATTGTGTGCAACAAGGCAAGATTGGTGGTTCGAGGGTTTCGGCAAATTCAGGGTTTTTATTATATAGAAGTTTATGCTCCAGTTGCTCGTTTGGAAGCGATTCGCATTTTCCTTGCTTATGCTTCCTACATGAACTTTACTTTATACCAAATGGACGTTAAGACGGCTTTCTTGTACTGCAAGGACAAGGAAGAGATTTACGTTGACCAACCACCTGGTTTTGTTAACTCATCTCTTCTAAACCATGTTTACAAGTTTAACAAAGCTTTGTATGGATTACATCAAGCTCCTCGAGCTTGGTATGCTACTCTTACTCAGCATTCGTTCAATCACGACAATTCCTGAGGCACCATTAATCAAACCTTATTTCTCAAGCATGTCGGTCCAGATCAAATTCTCGTTGAAATTTATGTGGACGACATCATTTTCGGGTCGACAAGCAAACAACTTTGCAAGGGGTTTGAAGCGGTGATGAAGAAGCGTTTTGAGATGAGTTCACTTGGGGAAATGACCATGTTTTTGGGCTTCAGGTCAAACAATCTTCAACCGGAATCCTTATTCATCAATCAAAATATGTGGAAGATGTACTGGAGAAGTTCGGGTTTCGAGACGCAAAACCTGCTCTTACACCCATGGTGGAACGACCTCTTCTGACTCCTGATCTTGAGGGTGAATCCGTAGATCAAACTCATTATCGATCAATGATCGGATCACTCATGTATCTTACTGCTAGTCACCCAAACGTCATGTTTGTGGTTTGTCAATGTGCTCGCTACCCGGCTAATCCTAAACTCTCTCATTTAATTGCTGTTAAAAGGATTGTTCGGTATCTCAAAGGGTGCCCAAAACTGGGTCTTTGGTATCCGAAAAATCCCGAATTTGATCTTTATGCTTTTGCAGACAGCAATTATGGTGGGTGTGAGCTTGATAGAAAATCAACTTCAGGAGGATGCCAATTTCTGGGAGATAGACTGGTGTCATGGTAGTGCAAGAAGCAACACACAGTCTCAACCTCAATAGTAGAAGCGGAATATGTTGTTGCATCTGCTTGTTGTTCTCAAGTCATTTGGATCCAACATCAGTTGTTGGACTACGGTTTGAATTTTCAAGACACCCCTATTTTTTGTTATAATGAGGCTGCGATTCAAATTGCCAAAAACCTAGTCCAGCACTCAAAAACCAAGCACATCGACATCAAGATTCATTTTATTCGAGAATGTTATGAGCGTTTGCTCATTCGGCTAGAACATGTCCACTCTGATAATAATGTAGCAGATCTGTTCACCAAGCCTTTTAACAAAGCTCGATTCGATGTGCTGGTTGATTTTCTAAAAATGATTCGTTTTGAGGATTATTTTTTTTAGTATAAATTTGTGCATTTTATTTCATTTTATTTTTATGCACAAATTTAGGGGGAGAAAAATAGAAGATCCAAAAACATTAAAATATAGAAAATCCAAAAACATTAAAAATAGAAAAACCAAAAACATTAAAAATAGAAAATCCAAAAACATTAAAAAAAAAACATAAAATCCAAAAACATTAAAAATTAGAAATTATGTTTGAGGGAGATGTTCTGGGAAGTGATATGATTATGTGATAGCAGGAAACCAGAGACTGTGTAACGTACCCAAAGTTGAAGGATCTATGCTCTAGTTTGATGTGTCGGTAGGCACGAAAGATTCTAAATGGACATAACTAGGCAGAATTGAACTTAGGAAATCAAAGGACTTGACAAATCTTGACCTAAATTGTTCCGTTTAGCCTGACAATACGACACTCAGATAGGCTGAACAGGGATATATATATGGGAATCTACTCATCACATTAAATAAACCCGTACTTGGAACCGTGGTTTAACTTTTCCTCGATATGCGGATTCTGTCCTTAATTCCGGTATTGATGGGGCGACTGGTAAATTCCGATGAATTAGGTCTGTAGAAACTTATTTTCTTTCTTTCTTACTGTTAGTCATATGTTGCCTCCTCTGCATGATTGGAAGAGATCCGACTTGGACTACAACATATGCAAATCTATTTCTATGCATATTAAATCTATGAAATTCTTTTTATCTGTTAGGCATATGTTGTCTCCTTTGCGTAATTAAAATCCGACCTGGTACACAACATATGCAACCTTCTACTTCTTAATCCCTTTAAAACTATAAGTGATAATAATCTGAATCTATATTCTCTCCTAATGATTGTCTGCTCACCCGATGTAAGGAGTACTCTAGAAGTCTTTGATTACTGGGGCATATCAGGAAGCGGGAAACACGTTCTAGTACACTTAAAATTGAACACTCAAAGATTGTCTATAGATCTCGCTGCTCAATTTAGGTGGACAACAATATCCGTAGTCGTCGTCAGCTGAATGGTCCTTAAGCTATAGTATCTAGAAACTTAGGATCAGATATAATATCTAGGAACTTAGGATCACATTGTCTTGTCACGTATAGTATATCCTAATTTTGTCACAAATTTTTCGTGTTTAAGTGGACAACAATACCGGCAATCGACCAGACAAAGATATGAATATGAAAGCTACCGATAAGCGGATAATGGTTGTCTAAAAACTTTGATCCCTAAACCTCAACACGTTAAAACAATTTATATAGGTTTAAATTGAATTGTTTATTCCTTGTCAAATTTTATTTTACTCTATTTAAAAAATATATATAAAAAATATATATATATTTTTTATTTTTATTTTTCTTTTTTAAATTTTATTTTTTATTTTTTTATTTTTTTTAATAATAAGTTTTAGTTTATTAGGAATTTTGAAATTAATTTCACATTAATCCTCAAAATATTTCATTTTGAGAAAATGGTGAGTGAAAGGGGCATCGGCGTTAATGATTAAAAGATAAGGGGGAGAAGTTGTAAATTCTGTGTATATAAAAAGTGTGTGCGGTGAGCCTTTTTAACCGTCATTTACTTTTGCCTCAACCTCACACACACCTATTTCTCTCTCAAACTCCTTGAATATTACATTAATTTTTGTGAAATCAAAGCATTACTCGGTAATTCCCATGAACACGACTGATTTTTCGATTATTTTCACAAAATTTTTATATCGTTTGCTGTTAAATCATCATAAAAAATTTGTTTATCTTCAAGGGTAACCGCACACGTTCGTGTGCGGCTGACCGTATGCGGCCACATTATTTTATGAATAAGTTTGTGCGGCTGACCATGTACAGCTGCACACGTGAGTATGCGGCTGCATGTAACTTTGTGTGCGGCTACATCATTTTCATAGTTTTTCCCTAATAATCTTGTGTGTTGCCTTTCAGATTAAAATGGGAGACATGGAGTTCGCTAAAGCTCATAATTCTACAATTTTTCTTGAAGATCCTCCTGCAACCCACAGTGACTTGAAATTCATTGTGGATGGTTTGAATAAATCATGCTTGGTTCATTACTTAACTACAAATCCTGCTATCTACCAAAGTTTGATTAAGGATTTATGGAGAAATGCTGGTGTAAAGAAGAATGATCGAGGTGAAAAATTTCTAGAAACAACAATCGAAGACAAGAAAATTCTAGTAACAAAAAGCATCATCAAAAAATCTCTTCAAATTGAGGACAGACCTGAGTACCCCTTGGAGATTGACGTTCATCAAATTGAGGAAATTTTAGAGCATATGGGATACGAAGGAACTTTTCCTCATACAATCAAAAAGCTGCTTCCTCCATGCTGGAAGCTTTTGGCTCATATGTTCGTGAGTTGCATTTCTGGCTGGAGATCAGGAGCTAACGAGATTTCTCTAGCCAACACTGGTGCTATTGCTACATCGGCGGCAGGTTTTGAGTTTAATTTCTCAAAATTTATAATGAATGAAATGATACTAAATATTGAAGGAAGCAAAAGAGACAAATTTTGTATGTATCCAAGATTTTTACAAATCATCCTTAACGTAACACACCCCGAGTTGCAGAGAGGAAATGATACTCTGGATTTCAAATCCATTGGTCCAAGTGCCTTTTGATTAATGAAGCAAAAGAGAGGCTGAAAATTTGTATTTGAAGGAAAATTTCCATTAATAAAATTTGGAATTTTTAAAGAGGATGTCAGAGAAGAATCAGCAGATCAATCCATGCCGATGGAAAATGAAGATATTTCTCTCTTCCCCTCTGAGCCTGAAGTGGAGGAGATTCATCACTCTCCCGCAGCTTGTGTAGCTGATGAGCATGATTATAAGAAAGCAAATGATTCAAAATCTTCTCGAGGGGATGATGACGATGATCTTTATGAAGATGTGGAGTTTTTGAAAGAAATCGACTTTATAGGAATTAATGATGACATTCCAACAAACATAGAGTTTGATTTCGGTGATAAAGATTTTGATCCTTTTATTGATATTCCCAGCAGCCGTGTAAATAAAGTAAATGAAGTTGCTTCTCTAGCAACCTAGACTAGAGATGAAGGAAATTTTCTCAAAATTTTTTGCTCTCTACCTCAAAATTTTTGCTCTCTCCCTCTGTGTCACCTGTCTCAACATCAACTCTAGTCATTTCTATGTTATCTGAACCTCAGACTTCTCAAACCTCCATAAGAACAAGACAATCTCTTGAAAGTCTGGAGGTACCCTCTATAAAATGTGCTCCTCAAGTTATTTCGACAATCACTGCAACCACTGCTCACTCTCCTTCAAAGCAGACTGATGAAGGTCCAAGCACCATGTTCGAGACTGGTGGATCCTCTTCTATTCCAGGATATTCTCCAACATGACCTTCTCTAGATGAAGCTTCCATCAGATTAGTAAAACATCTGACTCAATCTAGTCCAAACTCTTCACGAGGGAAAGGAATATCATTTAACGGGGGTCGGACAGATGATGACAAATTCTCTTCGTCTGATCTCCAAGAGGAAATTGGAGTTCTCCGCTAACAGCTCATTGAAAAGTCTATTCAAATGGATCATCTTTCTTCTCATATCTTTGAGCTCAGGGCAAAGGATGAAGAAAAGACCAAACAAATCAATAATCTACAAACGAGTCTTGGATCGGTTCTAGCTAATCATTTAAATCACAAGAACATTTTGTATGATGCTTTTGGTGAAAAGGTCAAAGCCATCTTTCAACAGCCTCATGGAGTAGTTGATCCTCCTTCTGTTCAATCACATCCTGAAACTGATGATCTACCTGTTCACCCACCTGTTCCAAGAACAACTACCATTGTCGACAGATTTGAAAAAGAACCTGAAGGAAGCAAAGCCATAATCACAATCAAGCAGGGCAAAAGAATCCTAACTGCAAAACAATGCGATGGCCTTTTATTCATGAAAAATTCTAATGAAAATCGCAAAACAAGAGACCCTGTCTTGACAGTAACAGAGTTGAAGAAAAGAAAGTTCGGTGATGAGTATGGTGACAGGACAGGCATCTGAATGTGGGCCTTTGATCCAGTGACGGAATTGTGGGTTGTAAGGTGAAAATCAGGAGCATCTGAATGTTACAAAAGCACCCATGATTTCAACTCTTGGACCAAAACTGAAATAGCTGAATTATCCAGGGCCCCATTCCATAACCCCTCTGAAGATCCTAATGCTTCAAATTTCAAAAGATTTCTCGACAGACAGGTCAAAGAGAACTTTCCATCAATAAAGACTGCAAAAGCCCTATATAAAAAGGACATATATGTTCTTGATCCAGAAACAAGCGAACCCATGAAGATTATACTCTGGCCTGCAACTAAGAAACAAAAGGAAATTCCTATTCCTCAACATTTTCATGAGGGATATCTAAATGACATGGAATTTTGGGCATACGATGACGAAACAGCTACTGCAGCCATCAAATTCAAGAATCGAGAACATGTTTTGAGATTGATTAATGCTAAAGTTCTTCTCCACTTCAGAGAAAGGGATATACGAACTTTGGCCTATCATCAAATCATTTGCAGAAAGGATGTCATGGAAGCTGCTACTAAAGAATTCACTGCTATGGTGGCCACGATCATAAATGGAAGATTGTGGATGGGATCAATGGGGAGATCAGATATGAGGTTGTTTGAGAAGCTTGCTGAGGAGCCAAAGGAGTGAAGACAAGACTATGCTAGTCTCAAACCAAGGGGGAGACTGAAAGAACATAATTTTGTGGTTTGAGCTAGGCATCATTTTGTATAGATGATAGTGTCATTTTGCAATGATTGTCTGTTTCGTGTAATGTGTGCTGCCACACATGTGTGTGCGGCTGCACACATGTGTTTGGCTGCACACTCTTGTGCTGGTAGGAGAAGTACTATTTATAGCAACTGAGTTGTGTCAGTTTGTACTGGTTGCTTGTGTCAGAACTCTGCAGTAGTTGTACTTTTCTCACGATGTACTTGACATTTATTGAATATAGATGTGTGCATGCTTGATTTTAGTTGTTCTTCTTCTATATATCTCCTTTATTATAATCAACTTCATTGATTACTGAATTGGATCATTAAATTTGGGACTAACATAGCTTAGAAGTGTTTTGAAAGTCCATGAGAGTTTAAGGTAGTAAACTCAAGGATAAATGGTCCATAGACCGTAAACTCCATTTAGGAGTGTTTTGATGCCACACAACACATCCTAAGGCTTAAACATGAAGTAGGAATGCTTGGATTTGCTTAGAAAGCTTCAAACATCAAATGGTCACAAAGGACGTGAGCTTACGACCATAAACCCAATGGTTTACGACCGTAAACCCTTTTGCTAGTGACCATAAAACCGTAAACTCCTTAAAGGAGTGTTCCTTGAACTCCAAACACACTATCCTGTCTCTACAACACTTAGATGCAACCCTTGAGACTTATAACACTTGTATAAGATGTTTAGCATGTCCTAGGGTGTCTTAACTTTGTTTATTACTTGTTTAAAGACTAATTGTATACATATGTGTGATATTATATGTTAATTAGGATCATAGAGTGTGTTCAAGACTTCACTTGACACCTAGCAATCCTACATCTTCAGTTCATCCGTACCTCTCACTAAGGTGAGTTCATACCCCTTAATCAATGATTTAAATGTTTTTAAATGTTTTATGGGAGGATACATGTAACATACACGTTTGGAAATCGTGTTTTGTAATGAATAAAATTGTGAAATATTATGTAAAATTGAATGTTGAGTTCTAACAGATGGTTTTTACTAGAAATGAAGTAAAACTATGTTTAGAATCACTCAGAAAATATTGGAAGTCCCATGGGATTCCAATTAAAAGCCAAATAGTGAAATTTAGCGAAAATATGAAATTTTAAATAAGTAAAAGTTTATTATTTGATGTTATAGAGAATCTCGTTAGAAACTTGTAGGCGAAAACCTTGTCCAAATCCGATTTATCACGAAGATCTTATGACGAACCAAAGGTCCGCAACAAAACCGGCACGACGTCGAATGACGTAAAAAGTGAGTTTTTGATAAACTAGTTTCTAACCATAGTAATCTAAATGAAAGTTGTAGTATTCGTTAAACCGATAAATTCGATAAAAAGAACGCCAAAATCTGACTTCGTATGAGGAATTATGATTTTTCGAAGTTTCAACTTAGTAGTAGACAGCTAAAAAATCGAATTTTAGATCGAGTGATATTTTACTGATACCTCTTAAACGAGAATCGAAGGTCTCATCATATGTAGTACAACAGTAAAAAGTCTGACGAAAACGGATGTCGGATGAAGAAGTTATGAATTTTTAACGTATTTTCCTATCCCGGCCTGTAAAACTAATAATATTAAAAATAAATTCAAAATTAGCCGACGAAGTCTAAACGAAAGTTGTAGAGCGTATTTTAGCTACGCGTGCATATAAAGAACGTCAAAAAACGGAGCTCGTATGCGAAAGTTATGGATTTTAGAAGTTCGGGGCCCGAAAATTGAAGAAATGCGCATGAATAGTGTCCGGCCACGTCACCTCTCACGAAGCTGGTATGTCACTGGAGACGTGGCCCAAACCAGAGACCTACGAAGCAGCTGCGTCACCCTCGTCCGGATCTTGACCCGTGTCCGAAGCAGCTTAGTCATCCGAGCAGGTGGCAACGCGTGTCGCAACCCTCTCGCACTGATGGCTCGGCCAATCCGAAACCGCCGCCTGCTTCGCTCTGCTGCTGCCACCGAGCCCCTCACTACCATCTGTCTTGTTCTCGGCCAAACCCTCGCCTATAAATAGGAGGACCTGAGAGAGCTTCCGACTAACTTTAAAAATTTGCCATTTTTCACCCGTAAATCCATATTTTCATTATTTTGACTTTTCCCGAAGCCCCGGTGTCAATTTTAGCACCCGAAACACGTCCCGAGACCCCGAGAAGCCCAGAAAATTTATCTTTTCGGTTTTGAAGCCCTACCTTCGCAGAGACCGGTTTTCAATTAAGCTCCCGGTTTTCAACATAGAAAGACATATTTAAAGTCGAAGTGCTGTGAATGAGTATGAAACTCAATTTAATCAAAGAGTAAGGTTTGCTACAAAGTATATTCCAACTGAAGACGAGAGAATTCAGTTATCCATGGAGGGACTACGACATGAAATCCATGATTTCGTTGTCAAATGGGATGTTATGTCATTCGATAAATCCATTGAGTATGCTTGAAAGCGTGAGCATTACTTAGAAATACGTGGTGCCACTCTTACTATTCCAAAGAATCCACGCACTGAAAGAACTACTCCTGCTTCCACTATTCCACCAGCTCAATCTATTCGAACTGATCCAAGCAAGTAAGCACAATCTCAGAGTGCTTTTCGTGGCCGTGGTAGGTCACAATCTTTTTCTATTCAATCGCCGTCATGTCGCGTTTGTGGAAGGAATCATCCGGGTCAATGCAAAATAGACAAGGAATGCATTGTCTGTTATGGGTTTGGAGAAACAGGTCATATCAAGGTAGCTTGTCCAAGGAAGGATGTGACTTGTTATGCATGTGGTATTACTGGACACAAGAAGCGTTTTTGCCCTACTCTTACCAGCCAAGTGACGGGAAGTCAAGCTTCTGTTCAACAACCAGCAAGAAGTCAAGTCCCTGTCCAACAACCAAAGAATACTCCAACTAAAAAGGAGGAGGTGCCAAAAGCTAAGGGTTTTTCATTCCAAATTACCGCAGAGGAAGCACTTGAGGACCCGAATGTCGTGACGGGTACATTTCTTGTAAACTCTAGACCTACTCACATCTTATTTGATTCTGGTGCCTCGGATTCTTTCGTATCTTATGGATTTGCGTATTCTTTTCAAACTGTTTGTTATACATGTTGGGTTTTCAGCAATCTAACACTTCCTAAGTGTGCATGCAACCCTAATAAACCTTGGATCTATGTTTGTCTAAATACATGCAAAATAATAATTTTCCAAGGATTATAACCTATCTAACATGGCATGGGGAACATTTCAACATAAAAGAGTTAGAAGAGATTACATACCTTTTTGTGAGTTTGGTTCTAAGGAGTTTGAGGGCCAAGCACCAATAGTGTGAATGCCTCAAATGGAATCACAAACACCACAAACTCTTGGAAAACTTTGAGAGAGTATACACCTTTTATAAAAATCGGCCACACACATGCACACACACACTAGTTTACTAGTTTTCTCTTAGGCTTTCATTTCATGCTCCATAAGCATGCTTATATAGTGTGCATGGTTAGGGTGAAACCCTAATAACCCATGTCTTTTCCTTTTCCAAGGATCCATGGGTTAAAAGCTCCATGGATCATCCATGGACTTCCACATAAGCCTAGCCCATTAACAAATGAGTATTAGCCCACACTATATAAAACAAATAGCCCATAATTTAATTAGTATTCCTTTTAATCTCTAAATTAATTCATAATTAATTTAAGACTAAAACTAATTAAATAACGTAACTTCATATTAATATATTATAACTCATAATATATTAATAAACATATGTGTATAACTCTCATAAAATTATCCATAATAGTTTGGATGAGATGCAACCCAAATGGACCATGCCGGTCGGGTCAAGTATATACCAAATAAGTTATGGACTTAGACACCTTATCCAACAGACTCCCACTTGGATAAGTCTAATAACTATATTTGCCTATAACTTCAGGAACCAACCAACAATCGTAGCTCTCGAAAACTCCCTCGAACAATGAAGACTCTGTCGAACTATGAAGCGCCATTTTAGATAAGTGATCACATAATCCTCTGTTCTCATGATATCAGCCGGAAAACACATGGAACTATGTCTTGCTTATTGTCTAGCAGTTGTTTCTCGATTTTCCGATTTGTTTGACGAAGAACTTCACTGAACACATCGGTTTAGTTCTGACCAGGCCTGGTACATGGGTCAACACAAAATCATCGAGGGGCCCAGATATCGCTTCTATTTCTAGAAGGAACAGATAAACTTCGACTGATATGCTTGTTCTACTACTTATTGAATTGTACACAAAGGCACGTTTTATAACATCAAGTTACTGATGCGTTTACGTGCAATCAATGCACAACCAACTCATAGGTAACAACTCATATCTCTAGGTTTAAAGATTTATATGATGTTATCGTCTCACGATCACTCGAGATAAATTCCATGAAGTGATACAAGTGAGCGTGGGTTTATACCAATACTCATAACTTATGAGTACTCATGAATGTTGCAGCAACCATTGCCATGTCTAAACACCTTTAAGGCATCTACAAACCCAATTCATGACAATCTTGATTCATACCTACTTCCGACGTATGATCGATTGTGGAGGTTTGAATAAATTAATTATTCTGGAAGTCAAAACATGCAAAACTGAAACAATAGTAAATAATTGACAATGATAGTAACACTTTACTCATAAATAAATCACAAATTTTATTCATCATCAAACGTCGATTACATTTTACAAGTTTCAGGAAAACTATCTAATCTGTAAAACTAATATCGTCCCTCAGCCCGATGCGTCTCGCATGCTGAAAATGCTTAACCCTCGTCAGTCCCTTCGTAAGGGGATCTGCAGGATTCTCATCGACGATATCCTCCTTGTCACAAGGAGTCCTTCTTCAATCTTGTGTCTTATGAAGTGATATTTTCTGTCAATGTGTCGGGATCTGCCATGATCTCTTGGTTCCTT